TATGGTACAGTCAACTTTTATGCGAAAGAGGCATTAAAGTCTTCCTAGAGAGGAGATGAGGAAGATCTCCGCATCTTGAGACTATATGACCGACAAGGTTTGGAGCAGCAACTTGAACGATAGGGCATCAACGTAGAAGTGCACGAAATCTCCGACTAAATCCGTTGCCTGGATATTGCTTCGCGATATGAGTGTTCTTGGCTGGAGTAGGTAGCTAGGCTATGCTGCACGACACCTAATCCAGTCAATTTGTGATGGTTCTCCTACACTACGCTACCAGTAGTTGAGGATGTCGAGCACAAGCTCGGACCCAGTAGATTCTCATTTTTGATAATCGGTCATTCTCGCAATTGGAGGCTAAAACAAAAAGATCGCAAAGGCGTTGCATCCCATCCCCTCCTTTGTTTTGATGTGTTACTTTACTATCTTGTACCTCAACTTTCAACACCACCACTTCCGACCGTGGTCATTTCGTTGCCAAAAGTCAAGGCTTGTCGCAGTCGATCCAAATCATCTTCCGTCCCACTCGTTGTGGTACAAGGCGAAGTGTTGCTGCTGCATTCCTGACTCTGAGCGTTGTCGCGTAATTTGTGACTGAGCGTTGTCGTGTGATTCTTGCTCTCGTCGCGTTTACGTACATGCACTTGACATGTCAATTTTTAGTTGATTTTCATCCACTACCGATAAGAGAGAAAGGAGGGAGAGACCTGGAAACCTGTTGAAGAGCTCGGGACGGGTTAAACATCCCCAACTGAAAGACTACCTGTCCCCAAGTCTATCCCCAACTACACAAAGACATATAATCAGTTATTTTTGGGTCGTAATTTGTGCTCGGTTTGACAGATGGCAAAACGACAGCGGTACATAGCACCGAGTTCTACGCTAAGAGAAGCTCAAAGAACACAATCAAGCTTATAGGAAAACTACGACCCTGCCCGGGCCCCCGCCGTTTCAAGAGGAGGCGAACGAGCCCATAAAGCCGAGCCTTACATGCAATGTGTCACCTCTAGCCGCAATTGCATTCCTATGAATGTACGCGGACCTACGTAAACGAAAGCATCGGAATAAGGTAGGACCGTGATCCGCCTACGGCATACCAATTGAGGCTCTGACAAGTAGCTAATCATTTCTTCTGCAACTTCAGGGCGATATGTAAAAGTTGACGAGCTGTCCTGCGACTGAGCACACTTTCTGGCAGAACAAGATGTAAATGGTATTGTTTTTGCATACTAGTGCGTCACCTATGTCGTTGATGAACAGGGGTCAGTGGACAACGCCAGGATCTAGAAGGAGCTCACAAGACAAGAATTAAAGGGAAGTGACAGACTGTTTTGCTCAGCATGACAGTCTTGTGATTCGTTTCCGACGCGCATGTCGCTACAAACGATGACAGTATGCCGCTGCGATCTAATGTTGGGCATATCTGTATCGTGAATGACAGGATGACTGGATAATCAGTGTGGATACGCCGTCGCTCTCAAGCTGCTGATAAGCCTACGTTATGAAAAGTGCTAGGTTGCAAAGGTAGATAGGTGACCCTGTTCTTTAAATATTTTTATGTACTCAAGCGCTCCGGGGTCAATGGTATGCAGTGGACTGGCGAATACGTCTACAACCAGCAGATGCTAAGGAAACGAAGTCACTGTTGTTACCGCAGCTGTCTACTAATATCGAACGGATACTCGGCGCATGTAAATATATATTACAGAGTCACTTATCCGGTAAATGAATTGTCCATCCTCAAGCGTATATGGATACTAGTAGCTAGAGCTTTGGCAGACGAAGGCACCGCGGAACGCACTCAGTAAAATGCAACTACACCATTTGGCGGGTCCGGATCACGCGTGCCGAGGCTAATGCATTTAAGATGTAAAATGAGGTTAAACTTATACTGAGATCAGCTACGTGCTCATACCTTGTCTTAATACCTCAAACGTATCTAGTGCATGTAAACTTTTAATTAGCGATTATTCCATTTTTCCTATACGAAGTGCATTATTACATGTATGATAAATCAGCTCAAGGACAAACGTGTCATCCTCATCATTGATAATTGCAACAAACAAAATAGATCCGTGCAGAAATTGGCATGCTTATGATACAGCAAAAAGGCTTGATTAAAAGACATTCAAAACAATAATTCGTGTGATGTCAAAGCATTGATTGTTGAACTATTGGTATTTCTGTATTAGCTGTCAACGTTGGAGAACGTGATGCAAGCAATAAGAACATGTATAGGAATAGTGCGTTGACGAAAAGTGGTGGGGCGTGCCGAAATTGCCTTGAAACATCAAAAGTAGCACCACCATCACCACCTCATCTTATAGGCACCCATCATATAAGTGCTAGTCTCGAAGCAATGGAGGTTCCCTTCGAATGTAGCCGATATCCGTGACCTTAATCGTACTTGCAGTGGCCGGAAAATATTGGATATGTTCTTTGTCGGGTGAGGGATATTCACTTGTACATTGAAGATGACGCACTTGACTCGATACTTCCTGGTAGCCCATAGTAGCCTGCCCCGTGACATGTCGGTGATCCACCGGAAGAGGTGGAGTCAGTCCATGATACAACTGGTTGTAGCAATGTCTTCTCGAAGCGGTTTCTTTTCTCGAATCATATTCAGATTGTGAATACGATTGGTCTTGTCCTCCAGACACTTAAAACAAGATTTATCGCCTATTATAGTTGCTGCTTTATACACTTGTTCAGTACACGCCATAGAATCATTTACACTCGACACCTCTGGCAGAAAATCATCATGAATGGTGCTGAAGGTAGGACTTGAGTGGCCTGTTGAACATCATGGTCACAAATAAATTAGACAAGTACGTTAAGAATGCGAATACCACCTACCTGTGACGCCTGTTGCTAGATTAGCTACTGTCCTTCGCTCCAGTAGTGGACACACATAGCATCGACTTTCTACTTATATTCGACACGTCAGGTCGCATGTTGCCATCATCCTCGGACTGCTGGGGGGACGTAATTGAGTAGTCGTTGTCTTGCTGACGATTCTCCATCCAGAAATCTGAAACCAGTAGCTTTATAAGTTGCGATAGGATCAAATGAAGGTAAACAGTAAGCTTTGCTGCACGTACCGGCTTGAACCTGCCTCACGTCAGTGCAGCACGTACCTAGCTCGAGCCTGTTTTACTTCAGTGCAGCACCTTGAATCGAACTTGTTTTACGTCAGTGCCGTAGTTTAGCTCGTATTTCTCGGTGTTTGTTTCCAAACGCTAAGACGTAACGTTTAGCACTGGTGTGTGGGGGAAGCCTTTATATATACATATTCAGATATAGATCTATAGGTGTTAATATACATATATTTGTATTGATCGCAAGACGCAAGGCTATGTACCGCTGTCGTTTTGCCATCTGTCAAGACGAGCACAAATCACGACCCAAAAATAACTGATTAAATGTCTTTGTGTAGTTGGGGATAGACTTGGGGACAGGTAGTCTTTCAGTTGGGGATGTTTAACCCGTCCCAAAGAGCTCCCCAATCTCTCAGACTCTGCAAATCGTCGGTTCGCCGCACATGCTTTAGCCAGGCCACACGTGCCAGTAAAGCAGCACGTTGTAAACATCCATGTATCGACCTCGTTACATCTCTGAGCGTCGACTGTGACGCAAGAGAAAGAGTAACGAGTAAAAAGCGATGCATGGACTGCTGCCAGACTCTATGGCAAACACTTTTTTGTCAACTGATCGATTACGTGTCGCGATGCCTCCTGTCAAAGCAGCATGTGGGCCAACTGCGTTTGACATGTTGTTTGCCATTTTGGCGTGACGAAAAAGCGGCGACGTCAAGTGCGCGACGCACGTGTCCGTTCTGTCTTAACTCGTGCGTCGGATCGACATCCGTGAGCTATCCGTCCAAGTCGTTGTGTCGTTGCGTTTACAATCGGGACATTCTTGACGCCCCGAGAGTGTCGGAAACAACGCAACTCGTTGTCAAGACGTCGAGGCGATCGTGGCCTTATCTGCTCACTTTGTAGATCGCGCTAGAGAGCAGATGGCGCTTCCATCGTCTTCCGCGACTCGACACGCGAATCCAGTCAACGGTCGACCGATCGATGCGGCGAAACGTCATGTGGAAAGCTTGTGCAGGTGAGTGAGTAACTCGCTCGTTCAAAGAGCCACGCGCCGTGTACTGTGCATGGCACGACGCGACTTGCCACTGGTTGCTACTGTCCCGAGGGGCGACAGACAGACGTACGTAAGTAGCTCTTGTGAGAGACATAGCACTCGTCGTTGCAATAGGTAAACAAACGTCACTGACCGCAGGAGAAAGCCGCGAGACGCCTTCGCGCGCACAAGACCGTCTCGAGGGAGCGGTCGATCGACATGGTCAGCACGCGCGCGAGTTACCAACACGCATGTGTCCCTCTGCTTTGTCTGCTTTCCACCGACTGCTGCAGCTGCGGCAATAACGGCGGACCGAAAGAAATCACTTTTCCCGCTCCTTCTTCCTCCACCGTGCAGAGAGAGCGCGCTGAAGCAGTCGGTCAATCAACTCATCACCGCCTGTGCGCAGGGCGCGCGCGCCTCTCTTTCCATGGACAGTCCACGAGACTTTTTTGCTCGAACTGAACGTTTGAGTCGCGTCGTACGTAGCGCGTCGACCGATCGGTCGAAACGTCGTCAGTTTCCATACAAATACCAACACACAAACAGACACACACAGACACACAGACACTGCCGTCTGTCTAAACAGACAAACCCCTCAACAAACAGACCGACCGACAGACCGACCGACAGACAGACGCGACGATGTTCGAGTGCGTAAAAGCCGTGTGCGGCCGCAGCGCTTCGGCAGTCGATCCGCCGCCGCTGTCGCCGCACTCGCGTTTTCCCGCCCGTCGGCCCCTTTTTCTCCACCCGCTCGCTCGCCCACCCGCGCTCTGTCTTTGCTGCTGCTCACTTTCCGACTGCCTCCGGCCGTGCGTACCCCTCTCGCGCGCGTTGCCGTCAGTACCATAGCAGTCACTCGCCACATGTCGCTCACGTGGCTCCGCCACCACGTGCGCCCGCGCGACCGCCACGTCCCGCGTCCCCAGCGCGTCAGCCACCCGCGCCTCATTGCAACGGCCGCACGCCCACGTCGCCGGGCGCCCGCGGCCTTAACGCCCGCTGTCACGTACGACAGTTCGTTCGTGGCCGACCGCAGCGTCACGTCGCGCGACGCGCTCTGGCGCAGCGCCGCGCAGCTCGCGCAGCAGTGCGTGCGGCTCCAGTGGCGCGTCGTGGCCACGCGCAAAGACGGCAACTGCCTCTTCCGCGCGCTCAGCGACCAGCTCTACGGCCACGAGCGCCGCCACTTGGAGCTCCGTCGGCGGCTCGTGGACTTTATCGATCTGCACCACGCGCGCTTTGCGCCGCTCGTGGCCGACGTCTGCGACGACGACGTCATCGCGTACTGCGCGCGGCTGCGGCACGCGGGCGCCGCGGGCGGCCACGCAGAGCTCGTGGCGGCGGCACAGCTACTGGGGCTCACGATTGTCGTGCACGTGGGTCCGGTCAAGCGGTGGCGCGTGGCGGACGCGGCCGAAGCCGCGGCGGCCAAAGAGGGACAGGGGAAGACCGTGAACCTCTTGTTGGTGCACGACCACTACAGCAGTTTGTACAAAGACGAGCAGCAGCCGCATTCGCACGGATGTAGTGACTCGTGTTTGTGTCGACGTCTTGTGGCGGCGCCGTCGAGTGACAGTCGCGCGTCACTTGGGACGTACGCGACGGAACGGCTCGAGTCAGCCGAGGGGCGGACGGGCAGTGACCGCTGCTGGTCGGCGGACGCGCCGCTGCGTAGCTCGTTGACCGGCGGGCGACCGGTTGATGGGACGGTCGAGAAACGCGGACGCGGCGCGAAAGAAGCCAAAGGCGCGTACGGCCGCAAGTCTGTGCCGGACGCGGACACGCGGCGGCGCCAATGCGACGACGACAGTCCCGTGCACAAGAAGCTGCAGACGGCGGTGGTGGCTGCAGGTGGGGGTGGCGCGCCACATGAGCTTTTGTTAGCCCCAGAGCTACCACCGGATGCCTTAGTCGAGCGCGGGACGTCGGCGTTGGCGCCTGTGGCGGACGTTGCGTCCGTGATGCGATCGGGATCAAGTGCTGTTGTTAATGGGGCGTCCAGTCGACCAAAGGCGCCGGCAGCTCCTGGTGGAGTCAGTAAGCCCGAGGCGAGTGGGAATGCTGGACGGGGTAGCAGTTGTAGTAGTAGTAGTAGTAGTAGTCAATCAACGCTGAGGGACGCAGAGAAAACAAAGAGCCCTGGCGTGGTCCTGTTTGAGCCAGCAGCACTAGAGCCGATGGTCAAGCCACAGGCCGCGCTAGTGGTGCTCTTTGACCCGGAGAGGTCGTCGGAACCGGGACCAGCGCCGAGTCGACTGGCCAAGAAAGCAGCAATGGCTACTGCTGTGCGAGTCGTGAGGCCAACGTCGGCCAAGATTGTGCAACTGGACGGAACGGAGCTCGAGACGAGAGTGGGGACCCACAAGAAAGTCGCCGCAGCGACTCAGCGCAGTGTGCATCGCCCGTGTCGTGCGGTGTTCGAGGGTGGACGACGACGGCGGTCCAGTGCATGTGCACGTGCATCGGTCCAGGACGTCACGACTGGCTTGAACAATGCTGCCCCTGCGGCAAGAACGGTCACGGTCAAGTTACCAAAGACTGCCGTGAAAGCTGAAGCGGCCGCCGTCAAGCCTATTGCCAAGGCCACGCCGGCAGCAAGTGCGATTGAACCCGTGGCTGCTGCGAAGCCGAATGTGCCGGCACCGCGTCCAGTGGAGATCAAGAGGTCGAGCAAGAAAGTTTTTTGCCAGGGCCGTCTTGTCGCCGCAGGTTGAAGCGGTGCTGCAGGCGAGAAGTACTTAAAGATTGCCCGGGCTGAATGAAAGCTCGTGGCGTGCAAGATATGTAGACGTGCGTAAAGGACGAAGAAGACAGTGGCGCACAAGTATCGCTGGCTCCCTCTTATGACCATGTCTTCGATCGAAGAGGACGAAGACAACAGACCAGAAAGGTGAACGACATCTCCTTCACGATGCAACGCCAAACACAAGTCACAAATACTGCACAATTTATCACTGGCACGATGTCGATCCACCGCTGATCTTTGACATCCAACGAGTCGGATCACCGACCCGAGATCGATTCCGACGCGCGATACGCATGTTCCCAGACAGATCACGAGGCATTACAGATGGAATATGATGATAACGATTGAGGGTCGTTGTGGCGAAGACGAAGACGATATCGTCATTGCGTGGACAATTGCCATTGAACAAAAGCTTTGACGCTGTTGGATCTCACCATTTACAAAGACTTGGGCTGAGTTGGCCCAAAAGAGTGCATTTGTATTGAGCTGCTCTGGCTCATTCGCATCACGTTTGACTTGAGCCTCAGCGACAAGTGTGACAAGTTATGGTGAACGAAATGGAATTCTATCGTGCGACTTTCAGGTGCTGCAATATGTACATATCCACAACGACTCGATAACGTAGTTGAAGCAGGAACAGGTGATATTGCATCGCAGCAAGTGCTACTGCTGTCATCAGGAGTCAGATGTGCTGTCTTTGTATGACAACGAGTTTACCTATGTGCACAAAGGTGACGCTGCTAGTGAAAAACGGACGGCTTGGTCAAGTCGGATGCATCGCGAAAGGTTGTTATAGCACTGCAAGACCGTAAAGTGTGAGACCAATCCATCTTCGCTATAACAGAACGACACCTTCGTGGTCGGTACTCATGCGCAGCTACTTCAGCTGCGCTTCATTTGGAGCATTCGCATGTTAGTGACCAACAGAGAGTATGTGCAGACAGCAATTGACAGAGTGCACGCATACAGGCACCGATCTTATTGTATGTTGTCACGGAACGCGTACGTCGAGACTCATTGTAACGATGTAAACGCATGGAAGCGACGGTGGCGTACACTGAGCATCGATTGCATCTCCAGCTTGTTAGCACAATGAACTCAAGTCACGCTCCTGCATGCAAACGTCGCCATCAAAGGCAGCGTCCAGACATTCCAGGCAATAGGCCTGAGGCAACTCATGACTCGGCGAACTCGCAAAAGGAGCCGGCGTTACTACTCAGGCTTAGATGTTTACCAGACGTTCTGCAATCGTTGAAGGTGAGATCGACGCGTCTTTTTCGCTTCGTCTATCTCGTGCACCTCTATCCGAAGCGTAGAGCGCATATGTCGGGCGAGACTTAACTGTTTCTGTGCGGAGAGCGCGTTGCAATTTGGCGGACTTCTACGCGCCGCAGCTGTCAATGCAAAGTGCAAAGCAAAAGCACAAGTGCTCACGATCAGAGTCTGGCAAGGCCCGTATGTCTCTTGAGTCACTTGCATCACTGCAGATCAGATCGTTGCCAGCAAAGTGGGATTAGAGCTCGTCACCCGCCGCTTTGCCTGCCTTACACATGTCATCAGCACGGCAATGTAGTAACGAAACTACGTCTTCAGTGTCGATGGCGGCGATGTTGCAGGATTTGCGCGCCGAGTTTACGCGTTCGAAGACCTTGCTGACTTTCACGATATACTTGAAATAGTGAGACTCCTTCGCTGTAGGCGATTGCGATCGTCCGTAAGAGTTGTTAGCCTCGCGAGCCACGGGCTCTTTGGACGACGGTCAATCGTGGGTAGTCGGAAACGTTGACCGATTCGCCGCTCATGACATGTGCGCAAAAGAAGACATGAGCTTGGCTGGATCTCCCCTCCTTACTCACTCTGCCTTCGATTGTAAAGGCGAGTTGAAGGTGAGAGGTTGGCCATTGACCAGGGAATGGAGATCTGGCACTGGTACCAGCTCGCCAAGATATAGGACAGAAAAGTCGAGGCTGTCACCGGCATCTTGTGTCTTGCACGACTTTTCGTCGCGCTTATACACTGACAGATCGCGCTTGTACACTGACAGATCGCGCGTGTATCCTCAATCTTCTAGCCCTCGATGATTGTGAGCTGTTACAGTATGAGTGCACATGGTAGCACCTTATGATGCATGGAGCAACAGTTGAAGCTCGGGTCGAGAGTGATGGTACAGCTGAAGATGAGACACGGAGGTGGCCACATACATGCGGACGCACTTGAAGTTCAATGAACCACATGTCATGCATGGGGCCAGTCTGCTGACTCATCCAACCGGCACCATAGACCAGACAGAACGCACGTCAATGAGTCAGACTGAACGCCATGCGCAGAAAAGAAGGACAAAGACGATCCGTTCTTGGCTGCTAGAGACCAGCTACTCGACAATGCATGCAGACGGAGACGATAGGCGTACTGCACTGATTTGCCCATGCACGATGTCTCAGCGCCATTTCTGGTGCCAAAATAGTGTCCAGTAGAACTGTCCAAGATGTTACAGCTGAATCTCTGTGAACTGTTAAAAGTACTCTCCAAATTCCAACCTGGCTGCAGTCGATAGAATGGATCAAAACTTGTAAAACGTTGCGTTAAGTGACAAGTGGTGGTTTGGGTATCATCAAGACTATCAGTTGCAACAGGTGCCACGTCTCGTCACTCTTAACCTTGACTTCATTCGGCTTTTTTTGCTCGGACTGCATCACGCCATCAGCTCAGTTTCACCCAGTCAAACGTGAGTGACTTCCGTGCAATCGCGAGTCTGCAGTGATGACCCGAGGCTTGATGTGGCAACTTCGAGATCCTGCAAGCTCAAGTGTCGAAACGACATAGCAATAGGATATCGACGCGAGAACTACCGACCAGAGCCTTTTGGTATATTGCCGTACACACTCCTGTCGAGACGATGCGTTCCTCAACAATACACAACTTCCTGGAAGTCAAAAAGCCCATCGTTGTTATTCGCGCGGCGGTCACTCAGTAGCTCGGTGGGTCACCTCTTACCCGCATTGCGCACGTGCCCGGTAGTTCAACCTGAGGCTGAAACGGGGCAAAAAAGAGTAACATCTTTAGCTAAGAAATCACAGCGACAGCTACTGATCCCGTTGCGCGCGGGTCCAATGATGATCGCGCCGGCAAAACAGGTCAAGTTCGGACCTGGTTTTAAGCACCAAAATACGACTAAAACAAGGCAAATGGATCCTCAAAGCATTTCTGAGTCACCCGCGTCGTCTGCCTCTCTCGGCTGGCGCTACTGGGCCGCAGACCAGCACAAGTCAATTGAAATATCGAAAGATAGAAACAAGCTGAGATCGAGCGATTCGGCAGACTAAAAATACGTCCGTAACAAGTGCTTTTTACATGGAGCAGCACGGTCGAGCCAAGCGAAGACTCGGCCAAGTACGTTGCAGTACGCAGACTCGCCAGCTGCCATCAGTCTCGCGGGAGAGCCGTTCATCGTCGAAATGGACCCGGCTCTGTATCGCCAATAGAAGAGCGCGAATCAGTTCGGGCGCTCGTCGGTCACTAAACCCAGACCCTCTCCCCTTTTCTCCCTCCGAATTAGACGCACACCCGCACTTGCGGTCCTAATTCGCCCTCTCGCGCCCTCTTTCTACCCGTCCCCGTCCCCCAATCAGCGCCCACCTGCCCGTTGTTTTCTCGCTCGACCAGCGCGCCAGAGCAGCGGTCGGCGCAGTTGCCACAAACGCGCTGGGCCCTCCCCCGCCAGACGAATTCCCCCCTCACCGCCATCTCACACGTCCGTCTTCGGCCGTCGCGCGCTCGTTCCTTCCTTGCCGCCGCCGTTGTCGCTGTGGCAGCAGTAGTACCGTATCGCGTACGACTGCGTCGACAGACGACCGACGCCGAAGAAGAAGAGGGAAAAAACCTCACCCCACGAACCCCTCGTCGTCGCCAGCACCGGAAAAAAATAGTACTCTCCGTCTCCTCCTTTAACGACAGAGACGACGACAACGACGACGACGACCTGCGACAAGTACTACACGGACGACAAGTAGTACCGTAGTCGCATCGTCTCGTTTGCGTGTCCCATCTTCATGGGCGAGTCGCGGCGTGTCGCACGATCCCGAGACCCCAGCAGCGCCATGAGCACCTATTTGCCCTTACAGCAGCAGCCGCCGCCGCACCAGCAGCAGCCGCAGCAGTCGACGAGTATGGCGCTGTACCACAACGCCGCAATGGGTCACGGCCTCGCGAGTGCTGCGCCGAGCCACACTGACGCGTCGCCACCGCTGCCGCCGCCCTCGGGACCGACAGACAGTGGCGTGTTCTTCTCGCCGACGTCAAGCACGTGCCTCATGTGCTACAACGCGCACGTGGACGTGCTGCTCGAGCCGTGCCACCACCAGTTCCACGCGCGCTGCATTGAGCACGCGCTGGCCAAGGAACGCATCTGTCCGACGTGCTGGACGCCTGTGCGGACGCCCCGGAGGCTGATGATGCAGTCGCCACACCACCAGCAGCACCACCACCAGCAGCAGCAGCAGCACTTTGTTGCTCAGATGCAGCGCGGTGCTGGCCCGTCTGTCGACAGTTGCCAGTACGCAGTGGACTCCAAGACGCACGTGCTGGAGCATGGAGCAGGTGAAGTCACGCTACCGTCGCCGTGCCATTCGACGTCGAATAATAGTAGTAATAGTGGTAGTAACCGAAGCAGTCGTAGCAATCACAGTAGTAGTAGCAATTGCAGTAGTAGTAGCAGTAGCAGTGGTGGCGGTGGTAGCACTACGACTGCGATTGCTATTGCTAGCGCGACCGACTCGAGCGGACAGCCACTGCGGTCGACTGGTGCTGGGAACGCGACTCCTGTGGCAGTGATGCGCAAGGGCAAGTGGACCGCCGAAGAGAGCGCGTACTGCGACCGACTGATTGAAGAGTTCAAGAAGGGCAACTTGCCGCTGGCCGAAGGCACGACGCTGCGCACGTTTTTGTCCAAGTTGCTGCACTGCGACCCCATGCGCATCTCGAAGAAGTACACTGGCGACCAGTGCATTGGCAAAATCATCTTCCGCCGCCGCGAGGACGACGTCGCGAAGGGCGACCTCGAGACCATTCGCAAGGAACTGGCCGAGCTCGAGAAGACGTACTTGGAGCGCGAGCAGTACAACCAGCGGCGACGGGAGAAGCGCCTCGAGTCGGAGCTGTCGCGCGACAAGAACCGCTTTGCGGCGGCGCGCGCGATTGGATACGCCGCGGCCGCCGGGCGGTCGCCGCATGCGCCGTCCCAAGCACAAGTACAAGCGGGTGGAGCTGCTGGTGGGTATTCGCCCGGAGCGGCTACGCACCAGTCGATGGGTCAGCACGAGGCGCGGGCGCTGCCTATGCAAGAGCCACTGCACGGAGGCGCTGGCTACGGTGGGCCATTGGGGCGAGCGGGAGGCGGGATGCTGCCCGTCCCGCCGCCGCTCCATCCGCCCCAGCAACCGCCGGCGACGAGCAGTGCGGCCTCGTCGCATGGCTTCCACGGCGAGCACAGCAGCATGGCCATGCTGGGCATTGCCGGGGCGCTCGCCCACGGTCAAGGAGCTGGGCACGCGGGGCCGGACAGCCGCTCGGCTGGTCCGCTGGCCATGGACAGTGGCAATGCGAGCGACGCGTTCCCGCGCGTGTCGTCGATCGACAGCTTCTCGTGCTTGTTCCCGCGCGTGGCCAGTGTGGAGAACTTTCAGCACGCAGCGTCGTCGGGGTTTGCGGGCCTGGCGGCGGGCGTGTCGTTTGCACTAGCGAGCGAGACGCTCACGACGACGACCACGTCGACTAGCAGTGGCTTTGATGCGCAGTCGGGCGGATTGCCCAAGCCCCTGTCGATTGGCGAGAGCCTGAATGCCTACTTTCCCCGCATTCAGTCGCTCGAGCAGCTTTCGCACTTGTTGCAGGACCACGGGCCGCACAGTCCACGCGGGGCACTAATTGCGCCAGTCGCGCTCAACCCGCGAGAAGCGATGGAAAAAGCAAGTGACACGAGCAAACCGCAGCAGCAGCAGCAGGAGCAACAGCAGCATGCAGAGGAGCGGGTTGCATCAGGGAGCGATCGAAGAATAGCTGAAGAGTCTGGCGAGCATGATGGGGTCGAAGAGCAGCAGCGGGACGGCGGAATCAAGACCGAGCCAAGTGCGTATGTTGGCCGTGAGGCAAGTGCCGAGTCGTCTGATGCCATGAGCAGTTCTGCGAGCTCTGGAGGATCGAAGCGTCTGAGTCCCAGCCACAACGCTTCCGCGTCGTCCGGCATGGGGAACCAGATTCAGATCCCGAAGCCGCTGAACAAGATGCCGCGGAGCTCGTCCGGTATCTTTCCGCGCGTGCCGTCCATGGACAAAATGCCTCGGGTCTCTTCGGCCGACGACAAATTTCCTCGTGTTGCTTCGTTGGAGAAACTGCCGCGCATTCCATCGATGGATAAGTTGCATGCAGTGGGCGGTGGCAGCGAGCAACGGATCCCCCGCGTGCCTTCGAGTGACATGATGGCGCGAGTGCCGAGCTCGGATATGCTGTCGCGCTTTGGCTCGAGCGACCACCTCAGCAGCTTTCCGTCGTTTTCGAACCTGAGTGCACTCTCGTCGAGTGCCTCGTACGACAAGTTGAGCTCGCTGGGTGGCTTCAAGTCTGGCTTTCCGCGCAATTCATCGATCGAGGACATTTTGTCTCTCGTGGCGTCGTCCGAGTCGACAGGTCTTTCGTCCAATGGCTCGACGTTGCAGTTGAGTGCACTGGCCGCAGTTGCAGGCGAGGAGTCATCGCATTTGGCAAATGAACGGAAACGGCGGCTGGAGAACTCGCAGCAGGACACGCCGCTGACGGCTGACAATAAGAAGAGCAAGTTGTCGGCCTGAAATGGGTGCAGTATCGATCGAGCAAATGCTTTCCACGCAGAGGATAGAGGGTGACTGGTCTGTACGTCAACAAGGAGTCGAGGACCGAGAGGAAGGAATGGCCAGACTTGTCAAGACGGGAGGAGACGCTTGTACGTGGTCGATCAAGAAGTGGACAACAAACAGCGGTCCGAAGAGGCGATTGCACTAGAGGCGATTGCACTAGTGGCGATGCCGTCGTCTCTTGTTCCGCCTGGTCTGGTCCGCCCAAGCACTTGTTCCTCCTGTTCACGCCGCTGGTGCTCGTGGCGACTTATTAGTGTAGTTAATGTTAGCGCGTGCAGTATCATACAAAATGTCTACTTGCATCCTATGCTGGTGTTCGATGACTATAGAAGTGCGTCTAGGACGCGGTCATCCGGCAAGTGCTTGACAGGAAGAAGCCAGGTGCAGGTGATAAACTGCAGACTTTGACCGCCTGTTCGTCGCTCTTGACTTGTCTTGTTCGTCGTCTTTGCGTGAGCAGTTCACCACACATACACGGCAGTAGCAGCAACAAGTGCGCTGGCAAAAACACTCGAGAGCTCCTCGCGTCGGCAGTGTGACTGCGTTGCAACTCTACCGGAAACGAGCGCCATGCACTGTATCGGCAAATGCGTTGGTCCTTCTTCTTCAGCAGAGAGATAGCAAACGTCCTTGTCACTTCATCCGCTTTTCGTCCTGTCCGTTGATGCATCTCAGGGCACCAGTCGTAGCCCCATCACTCGAACCACACACAGCCCGTCGACACTCGTCACATTTTCCCCTTCTTCTCTTCTCTTCTTCTTCTTCTCCATCGTCATCATCATCATCATCATAAAGCAGTGCCGTCAATATCTTCACAACCCAACGCTCTTCGATCGATTGGACACGATCGTCGATACTGTAGCCACTGTGCAATGCACTGTGCATGGAACACATGACCACAAGGCAGCACCTTCACTCGCTCTGCCTGATCGCTGCTGCTCTCTCCGCTTGTTCCGTTCATATGTCCGTCCATGCAAATGACACACACTGTGTCACCGCTACGCGTCGCACGTCGCACGCTCTCCACCGCGCGCGCGTCGACGCACCTTGTCCCGCTTGCAGCAACATTAGCGAGTTCCTGGACCTGGTGGACGTAATTTGTCATAGCAGACACGTTCTGCTCCGCCCTTTGGAGAATCGCTGCCAAACATCCCTGTTGGCCTATAAGCTTTGCCCCACCTACTCGTCGAGACGCGCGCGGGCGCTCTGCCCGTTGCGCGAGCGAGTGCGCTACGACGCTCGCGATCCGCTGGGCCAAATGTCGCGGCTCTGGACCGTCGGGGACACCGAGCGGGCGCTTCGAAGGCCGACGAGTCATTAAGGAGGAAAAGGTCCGTCTCGAACGCCTGATGGGCGTGTTTTTCATGCAAATGGGTACACAGAACCACTGACCTATCCGACAACAGATGGCTACACACAAGATCGTCCTCCCAAAGACATAGACCAGGCCAGACACACCACCAACGTGTTACGTGGCCTGCGTTTGTATCGTCATCGTGCTCTCTCTCTCTCTCTCTCTCTCTCTCTCTCTCTCTCTCCTGCACCAACAACGCCACCTTACTCGTCTTGGCTCGACTTGTGCTTGCTTCGCTTGAGCTTTTTCTTCTTCTTTAGCTTCTTCTTCGTATCCTGTTTCGCGACCGACTCGTCCTTGGCTGCTGCACCGTCGTCTCCATCCGAGTCCTTACCACTGAGCTCCTCATCGCTAAAGTCGCTCGACTCGCTCGCTGAATCCTCGCCAGGTCCAAAGTCCGAGTCTTCCTCGTCCTCTTCGTCTTCAATCTCGCCCTCCTCTGGACCCAAATCCTCGAGGTACTCGTTAAAGTCGCGCTTCTTCGAGCCTGCCGGTGCACCGGCACCATGCGATTCCTTGAGGTTGCGAATGCGCAGCTTCTTTGACGTCAGAAACTGACTGAGCTCGGGAAACTCGCGTCGATCGATTGCCGAGAACAGATACTCCCGCGCGGCCTCACCGCCCACTGACTTGCAGCTCACGAGCAGATCAAAGTTCCGACTTGCTGACGAGCCGCTCTGTCCAGCGTAGCGCTGAAACTCAATGTAGTCAATCTCTTCGTAGCGAATAAACGTCGTCGGTTTGTGGATAAACATAAACGACTTTTCCAGCGGAAACAGCACGCCGCTCTGGGCCTTGACTGCACACTTGACGGCCCGGTCGCCACTATGCGTCTTGAATTTGCCCGACGTGTACACTTTCTTGCCAATGATAAACTTAAACAGCGTCGCGACGATCTGCGGCAAGGCGCCCGACATGCGTTCGTGGATGTTGCCATTGTACTGTTTGATCTCGTCGCTCGAGAGGTTCACGTCAATGTGCACGTCGTTCTTGCTCAGCTGCAGCACCAAGTGCGGGTAGCCCTGTTTCCCCTGTCGAATCGGCTCTTCCAGACTAATGACGAACGCAGTGTTAATGCCATTTGGCAGCTCCAGCAAGAAGCAGCGATTGATGTTCGAGTACATAATCTTATAGTCAAACGTCTTGCCGTGCATGCGCAAGAACGAGCCGTAGATCTCCACGCCGTAGCGCCCACGCGGCGTCAAGAACGTGCCAATGGTCTCGTCCAAGTCGACAATGCTCTTGCCCATGACGCTCCGAATGTTGGCCTTCTCCAGCACCTGCTGCCGGAACTCTTCGGCCGTCACGACAGCGTCCGACGCGTCCCCATTGCCGTCGCCAGTAGCCACAGCAGGCGGCAAGTACAGCCGCATCTCCACCAGTGTCTCTTCGTCGCCGGCCACGGTATCGTCTTCATGGAACTGCAGCTCGACTTCGTGCTTCCCCGGGAGCGCACACTGTGAAATTTGCTCCAATGGGAGCTCCATCACGCTCGCGTGCGTGGCGCGAAAATTCAAGTTAGGCCCTTCAAATTTCATACTGCCCCAATTGCCGCCGCTTGCAGCAACTTTCTCTTGTTCGAGTTCGCGGTCGAAATACCGTTCGACGTGGTGCTTGAGTTGCGCAATGTCCGGTGCTTTCAGCCCGGTAAACCGCACGTACGTACCGCCTTTTTGGTACACTTTCAAATGGTGCGTCTTGGGCCCCACGGGCGTCCACAGGAGCGTGACAATGTCGTCTTTCAGCAGCTTCTTCTGCCCTTCGGTCGCGCGGCTGCGCCATAGCAGACCGGAGCTCGAGAGCACGAGGACGCCGGCGCTGTGGCCCCAGAACACGTTGCTCAGCGTCGTGTCCGACATGAAGCGGCGCTGCGAGTTAGGGCGGCGGCACACAGGAGGTGATGGCGTGCGAACTTAACGGAAATTGTGATGGACAGACAGGTCGAGTGGTACCAAATAGAGAGCAACGAGGACGGAGCTCGATGTGGAGGTTGAGTCGGTTTGGTCCGGTATGCTTCATGTTGCGTCGGTATGTGTCGGTATTCGTGGTTGGGCCTTGTTGTGTTATGATTTGCGGAAATGTGCATAAGACAACTGCTGGTCACACCTGTTTGAAACTGTCCGTTTTGTGATGGGTTTTGTAAAAACCGTGTTTATAGTCATATGTTACGCCAGAAAGATGGAATTTACTCGCTAGCAGGACACTGATTTTGCATCATATGTCGATGCAACATTGATGACGGCAGAGAATCGACTACAATATTATTGGTAGTGGTAAATGATAGAGAATGTTTCTGCGAAGATACTATGCGTAGCTGCAGCTGACGACACCAGCCCAATGCAGCTATACAGCAATCGGTCATGACATCGTCATTCAATGAAAAGTGCTCTAGATGACTACGCGCGTACTGACTAAAGCAAGCAGTCAACACGCATGTTGTAGTAGACAACATAGATGAGTAGCACCAAAAGCGTACGTAGCGAGCACAAACTCTTGTGCTTAGTGATGCAGATTGCGTGGCTGCACGAATCGTCCGAGACGTTGCAATGCTGAAACATCAGTACAGGAAGCATATGGTGCAGCATCCGATTCAGCATCAAACTGGTAGATTACCGCAGCTGTTATTTGCTTCGATCTGTGCGAATGTTGCGCTTCGTGTGCACATTAGCAACGAGAGTTCACATGTTGACAACAAAGAGCGTTTGCCGCACAGAATTCGATCACCTTCTTAAGAAGAGTTTGGCTACAAACGGCCATAGTTCGTTTTTAGTGAGTTTGTGAAGTCGTGCCACATGAGAGCACACTTTCATTTACAAGGGCAAACATCGACGGTTTTTGTAGATTGTTCAGTGCTTTTGCTCAACTAAGTCGCGATATGAGCCTTTCATGCGCACGGAGGAACTCATGAACGGTTACATGTCCCTTGTTCGGTCTCGGTCTCGGCTTCGTCTGACAAAGTAAGTATGTTGACCAATCGCTTCTTCCACGTAGTTCAAAGTCACAGACCCTAAAGGTTGCAAAAAGGCCCACCTCTACCAACTGATACGTCTTGCGTGAACTCTCCTTGGCCACAACTGCTCGTGAACACATCGCAGTCGTTGTTTCCTAGTTGATCAGTATGTTTTTCGAGGAAAGTTGTCGGACACTAGACCTCGTATCACAATTGTTGATCTACCTACGTGGACACTGTAAGTGACAGGCAATGTTCAATGGTCACTTTGTTCAGGCAAATATTTGTTTGGTTTGCCCATTTGGTACTGGAAGAATAAGACCAAGACATATGAGCTTCACTATGCCTCGCATCCGTTAAACTCAGCGCCGAGGAGAATCGTTACCGACCGACTCGAAAATGCGATACAGCTTGTTAGTCTCGATGGAATGAACCGTCGAATGGAACTGGTCATCTATACGTAGAAGTCATTGGAGGCAGAAGCGCATCCACTTATGGACATGTCTTCCACTCCTTTCGTACAAATGTTCGCATCGTGAATCGCACGAAAGCTCTTTTGCTTCGCCGGCGTTTTCAATCATGTCGGCATGAAGTAACGACGTGAATCTCTCGTAGGATGGAGCGGTTGTTGTACTTCCCATCGCTATGGCCAACATGTCTGAGTTCTGTCACTACTCTCTCGCTGCGTACTGAGCGCCAAGAAAAAGACAGCAACGTCATCAAACGTACGCAGAAGACGATCTTGATTACAGTGTTCCTCTGGCATTTGCAAGTGACTAAGCTGCTTACTTCGTCAGTAGACCTCCTTGACCTGTACGACACAGCGCAGAAAAGAAAAACAATATGACTGAACACCACTTGCACATCCCACCAAACCTGCCGCAAACGAATGCACTTGAGACTGCTGGCTGCATTGATTATAGACGAGAAGTCATAACCAATTGGTGGTAATTTCCGCTCGTCAGCAACTCGTAGTTGTCCTCGTCGCGATTGAACACCCAGAGACGGTCTGCAATGTCCGATGGGTTCATCCCCTCCTTACGCAGCTTTGCCTTTTGTTGCTTCATCGTGCCCGTGACCGACATGACCGGTAGCTTGCGAAGAAATAGCGGCATGGCGTACGATGGCAGTCGCTGCTTCACAAATTGTGCAAACGCTCGAATGTCAAATGCCTTTTCGTCAAAAACCATCGCCGCCATGCACGCCCGTCCTTCGCGACCCGGGACCGTGACCCCATAGACGCAAATCTCGTTCAGCCCAGGGAACTGCGACACGGCCTCTTCGACTTCATTGGTGGCCACGTTTTCGCCCTTCCACCGAAACGTATCGCCCACGCGGTCAACAAAGTGCCAGCAATGTCGTTCGTCTTCTCGAAACAGGTCACCCGTTCGAAAGTACATGTCTCCCTTCTTGAACACATCCGTGAGCACCTTCTTGCGAGACTCGTTGGTGTTGCGATAGTAGCCCTGGAACCCTCGCTCGGGATCGGTCTCGCTCACTCTGACAATGAGCTCACCCGTTTCATTCGTAGCACATCGCTGAAGGAATCCTTTACTCGACCGCACGTAGTCGTCCTGTTCCACGTCGTACTTGACGATTGCAATGCCTGCAAACGTATTCACGAGAAAGCCCCGACGACCGAGATGTCCCTGATCGGCTTTCGACGTACAAGCATTGATCATACCCATCGGTCCCTCGGTCGAGCCATAGAATTCATACACGGACGGAATACCAAACCGGTCTTGAAAAGGCGCCCACACATCGGGGCGCAATCCGTTCCCAAACGCAGCACGAACGCGGTTCTCCTTGTCGTTTGCTACTGCTGGTGCGTTGAGCAAGTACCGACACATCTCGCCAATGTACTGGATCACCGTGCAGTCATTCGCCCGCACTTCGTCCCAAAACTTGCTGGCCGAGAACCGTCGCGAGATACACAGCGTTGCACCGGAACAAATCATCATCCCGACAGCCAAGTTGCCACCAGACGTGTGATACAGCGGCAGCGCACAATACAGTCGGTCGTTCATGGACAATTCCATCGAGCACTTGATCGCGAGCGAGCGCAAGATGATGCTGAAGTGGTTCACTCGCGCAGCTTTGGGCAGTCCGGTTGTCCCGCTCGTGTAAATGAGTAACGCCATGTCGGACGTCGCGATGTTGGCCTCTTTGCGAATCGACTGCGGCGGTTGCTCCGTGTTCATCGTCTGCAGCTCTGCATCGAGCGACAGGGCTTGCGGCACATATGCAGCAGCAGCGTCGGCAGTGAGGTCACCTTCAACACACACATATCACGTGACATACCAACGCGTTAGATGCAGCAGCAGTAGCAATAGCAGTAGCAGTAGCAGTAGCCAGTCGACCGTCGCAACCAGCTCGTCAGTCGCTCGTTGCAGCGTCGCACGTTACCATTGCCGTAGATGTAGTAGACCACGTGTGGTAATTGAGCCGCCACGTGCGGGAGGTGCCGCGCAAGCTCTTTGCCCACGATCATGTACCGGGCGTCGGCAATCGTCGCACAGTGCACGAGTCCAGCGGGTGGCAAGTTGGTGTTTAAGAGGGCCGTGACGACGCCAATCTTGGCCAAGCCGAGCCACACGAGGATGAACTCGAGTCGGTTTTCCATGAGCAATGCAACGGTCTGACCCACTTGCAAGTGGTGCGCGAGGCCCCACTGCGCGACGCGGTTCATAGCTTCGTCGGCCTGTGCAAAGGTCAGTACGCGCGCGTCACACTGGAGACAGCTCTTGTGCGGCCACTTGGCCGCACTTTGCTCAAAGAGGTCCACGACGAGCGTATTGTCCCGGGCGTACCGCTTGGCCTGGAGCAGCGCCAGCACCAGTGCCCGAGAGCGCCGCACGTCGGACGACAGCAGCAGCTTCTGGTCGACATAGTATCCCAAAGCAGCCGCACTAGTGACTGCAAGGAACTTGGCAGGTACAAAGTCTGACCAGGCGCTGAACAGCGGGGCGCGTGACGTCGTCGTCGGGGGTCGACAACTACTGCTCAGCGCAGCGGTCACGCGTGTCCAGGCAGTGTCAGGGACGGACGGACGCAGGTTCGTGGGGCTCATTTATGGTGGCTCGACCGAGGTCCAGGGGGTGCCTCCAATGAGATCGCTGCTCCTGCACTTGCTGCTGCGGGACGTGGACGAGGCGGTGGAGTCGGAACCCGCCTGCAGCTCCCAGTCGGGAGGGGGCGGACGACGTTCGTGGCGGCGGTTGCGAGATCCCTTTAGGGTCGCAAAGAGTCTTTGGCTTGGGACGTGACGTACGTCGCTGCGGCACGAAAAACGAGCTGAGCAGGGACGCGCGTTCGAGTCACAGCTCTTTCTCGCTTTCTTCTTCCTCATCCAGTCACTTCTTCCTTTGCCTACCATTCCGTAGGGATTTGAAGGAGAACTCGGACTAGTCGTTCCTAGGCCGTCCAGCGTATACCGTATCACCAGCTCACGGGGCGACCTGGTCAGCATGGAACTCGCCTCAGCCACTGCTGAGGTCAGGGGAGCGCTGCAGGACCCACGCCCTCCGGATCCCGGAGGAGTGGGCCAGTCTGCGGCTCTCAAGGGCCAGCGGGTGGAGGAAGAGGGGTCACAACCCCCCCTAAATCACCATCAGTGAGGGCCACACACTAATTCTCGGGCCACTTTATCCGGAACAGAAGGGGACGGGACCCAGGCGGTCATGGCGGACACCGCGACAGGCAAAGACACCAGATCGCAGGATATCGGCGGGGGCGGCTAGGCGGGGGCGAATGTATTGGCGGAGCTAGTCGTACCTACAGTAGGTCCTCGTCGACTACCTCATCGCGTGACGCATGTGCGCTTTTGCCGTCAGGGCGTTTGAAGCGTTCAGCAAGCGCCGCTTCATCGGCTAGCGATTCGGATTCTGCGCGGTCCCAAGCGGACACTGCAGGTCCGGCGGGATAGTTCGAATCCTCTTTGCACTCCCCCGCTCTGACCGATACGCACCCGATTCTCGGGGACACGCAGCGGGGGCGACAGGATCCTTATGAGAATTCTGAGGACATGCAGGTTCAGCCTCCCCCCCATCATGAGCGCGATAGAGATGTTGCAGGCAGTTACGGTAGAATTACGAACCTCGCCAGAGGCGGAGCAACGGGCTTCCTGGAAGGCTACCGTGGAGGCGTTATTTGCTGGCGTAGTCGAGTCAGTGAAGGTCAATCTGGGCCGCGTGCCGCCGGCCAAGAAACTCTATCCGAAGCTGAAGGGGGTGGAGTTAGCGCTTCTCCTCAGTTTTTTTGAGAAAGCGAGTGTCGTGGATCGATGTTTCTTCGAGCAATGGTGCCGATACGCATGGACAATGAGTCGAGATTTGTAAAATACGACGTGGTCGCAGTCAACTATTTTGGCGAGTATGACGAGTAAGGTCAAATGGGCACGCAAATCGGTAACGAACCAATGGGCTGCGACAGTGACCGAGCGGACTGCACCAGCCATCTCGGCGGAGCCACTCCTGGTTCGAGGGCATTTCCAGAAGTATATGCTCAACCCGGAAAAGTACGAGGCGGCTGCTATAGCTCGGCTCCGCTCACTGTGTGAAGCGCAGAACGCGCGCTACACGGGAACTAGACTTCGGGATGGCACGGAGGAGGAATTGGAAATCATTCCCATTCATGCAATTGGTGGACCTTCGTTGAATGCGCAATTAAAGACCCAGGTTCCAGCGCCCGATATTCCACGGACTGGAAATTGTAAACATGGGCGAGGTAGAAGGAACAACTATTCCGTCGCTTTGCTATAGACTGGGTCGCCATGTCATACGTAGGAGAGAACAAGGCAATTCCACTCTGTAGGGTCGTCCAATACATTGTCTCACCAAGGTAATTCAAACTCGTGGCAAATTCGGCTCCGTTCAAGGTATATGCCGTAATCCGTGAATATCACAGCCATGGCATATCCTTGGTCTTGGAGGGGACAAGCCACCAATAATCAAATCGACCCGATGTCGCTGCTTCAGCTCGCACCCCAGCGCGCAGTCGGTCGTCAAGCACCCGCCGAACAATCATTGTGACACTAGCGTCGTCATTTTAGGCGACTGCGATTCTCGATGTAAACGGTAGGGTTAATCGGCGGAACATCCTGACCGCACCTTGGCAGGCACGTCGAGCCGCAGAAATTCCAACAATTTCTGATCTGATTAGCCAGAGCGTCGCTCGATATAAAGGGTGTTTGTCTCTGTACAAGAAGTCGCGATGTAAGCCGGACCCGACCTGTTTGATAGCTATATAAATCACTGATTCGCAAGTCTCTCAAAAAATAATAGCTTCCCATTGTCCAACTGCTGTTGCCTCCATAGTCATCGATTCCGTCCGATTTCAAGACACCGCTAGTCTCCTCTGCTGAATTCCTAAAGTAGCTATCTAGGAACGGACCCAGGGCCGGGACCGCTTGCCATTACGGGCTTCCCGTACAAACTCAATAATGAAGCTGTGCAATCGATTAAACACTACAAGAGAGGCCAACAGCGCCGGGATAAGAATGTGATTTTGGGAACAGCGACAGCACTGGCAAGCTGAGCACATTGTTGTATCGTGTTAGTCTCCTCTCGTGCTAAGACAAGTCGGATCCAGAGAGACCGGATGCACATTTTCTATTTATCGGCCATTGCATTTTGTTGTCCCACCAGAACACCTAGATACCTGCAAGAGTCGCCGGGGGTATGCATAGTGAGACCACAGGTGATCAAAGATTGCGCTGATCCGCGAGGGTACAGCTCAATGACCATAGATTTCGCCCGATTTGTCTAAAGACCTGACACGTGAGCAAAATCATCGATAATAGTGATAACCGGTGTCATTGCATACCGATCGCGAACGTAGACAGAAGTATCATTGGCATAGTCCGAAACTTAAAACTCAGCAGTACTCCATCCAATTGTATTAGGCATCCTCTAGTGTCCTCCCGCGCTTCAGGAACCCGATAGACACCAGAGAGGGAGAAAATAAAGAAAGTGACGCAAGAAGACACCCTTGCCGTATTACGCAAGTAACATCACGTCGACTCGAGCGATGTCCGTTCACAAGAAATCGTCAGGTAGTAGTGCGGTAAAATGCTGCCACTCATGAGCCGAAGTGATGCTCAAAATCAAGCCACATCAGCGCCGACAGTATATATGGACGTTGCAACGTGTCGTAAGCCTTTGCAAAATGGAGAAACCGAACAATTGCTCCATGAAGATCCCTATCCACATTCGCAGCTTTGCGTGCCGCCGCGAAAATGTCAAAAGCTGTATATCTAGATCGATCGCTTCGGATTAAAAGCAACTTAAACCGGCAGAACGAGACGCGACAGCGATGTCCGCATCCGAAACACAAAATGCTTGGTAAATAACTTGTAGTCGTTGTTGAGAGGATAGATCAGGCTATGATCAAGAGGCAAGGCGGATCCCGGAGATTTCTTAAAACATTGAATATTCGCTTCATCGAAAGACGCCGGTAACACGCTGCACGTAAGTCGTCTGGTGTAAAATGTCTCGAGAATATGACCGAGAAAGTCCGCGTAATCGCTGTGAAATGTGTATTAAAATTTCATCAGGTTCAGCGGCATTACCACGTGTTGAACTCTTCAAAGACTCACTCAAGTCGTCGGGAAAAATGTCCGACGTCACAGTAGAGCCATCAACCCGGTCCGAAGGGGAGGTTTGGAAAAAGAACTCAGCGTTGGCTTCGGGAAAGACAAAGGAATGAGTCATAATACGATCCCAGCCGTCGGCCATCTCATCAGCCAATTCATGGGACCGATTCAGGTCGAATGTTGCTTTTTGGACCAGGGAAACGATGGTTTTGTCGTGAAGCATAGTCGACACCTGGGCGTGAAAACGGCGAGACGTCTCGTCAGGAGTGAACGTGTGCTGAACGAGAAGGATATATTTCTTGGTTCTCTGCCATAATCGTCGACACTCTCCCTTATTAATCCAAAGTTCAACCGTAGTATCGGTGGTGCGAGGCTGGTCGCAACGTTCCTGATATATCAATGGTGCGGCGCTACGAGTCCGCGCCACCAGCAGAACAGCATACAATCGTACGTAGACACGAAGAAGTCGCTGCTGATAGCTCTTTGTCAGACCTTGTCGCAAAATTTTGGTAGTCGCGAAAAGAACTTTACGAAGCCTCATTTTCCCGTCATCCTACCAGACGACCAAGCTCCGGGGCGTGAGTCCGAAGTCGGAACAGAAATATTCTCGTCATCTTGAATCTGTGCCTGCGTAAAATGGACGCAATGATTGCTTTGTGTGCGGCCGCATGTGCACAACCAGGAACAGGATACACGCGCCTCGGCTTTCGGACACAAACCACATGACGTGGAGCGCCGATAATGACACTAATGCCATTGTGGTCAGCATTCTGACAAGGCAGCGACATGCCAATGCCTTAAATTCAATCAGCATGCCGAGAGCTCACCTACCACCTATCCAGTCGTGAACTTGCCGAACCAAATCCCGACAGAGTGTAGAAATACGCGTGAGCCGCCGCTTTAAATACCGGTACAGCTATTTCTTCTTCGGCGATCTCCAATTCATGACAAAGAACATCGTTTAGCTGCGCTCTACCGAGAATCCGTCGTAGCGCCAAAGCGTCGTGTCGTCCGAATGGGCGATACAAATGAACGGTCAAGTCGCGGCTCTAAAGTACAGCTAAAGTCCCCTCCAACAAACATGGTTCTTTCGTAGTCGTGAAAAAGAAGTAGAAGACTCTCAAACATCGACTCCCTTTAATTCTTGACACTTGGTGCATAAACGTTGACAGTAAGAACTGACTTACCCAGGAAAGTGATCCGAACAGCCGTTTATTGCGACGTCCAATGCGCCTCAGACCACGGAACCATTTGCGTTATCGATGAGCAGGGGTTCAATAAAATTGCCACCCGCCTCGAGAGCGTTCTGACTTGGTCCATGTCTAGCGTCCACGCTTGTACACGAAGCCCCAGGAGGGGTTGCAAAGCTTTTCCATAGTATTCGACTCATTAATTGTGACTCGCGTTTCCTGGAGAAGAACCAAATTTTTGGCTTCGTTTGATTCGCTCTGCCGGAAGTGACTAAACCAAGATGCGCAGTGTTCCGGATGCTTGGGGAATCCTGCGACATTCTTCGAATGAAGACCGATGATGTTGTTGTGCGGCTGACGTAAAGTCTTCAACAGAAGTATAAGGCGACCTTGGGGCATGATCCATGTCGCTTCATTCCCTATCAAACTCCGAAACGCTCTCGCAATATAAATTCTAGCAGTTGATCATCGCGAGCGATAAGATCAAGTGCCGGTTGTCAGTTGGCAGGTTTGCAATGAATGCTGACGACCTCCGCGCGCACCTCTTTGGAGAAGTGGTATAGCACAGCCTTGGTTTGTGGCATTACCAAGTTCGTCTAAATATCAATAAGTGCGAGATTTGGTGGCAAGACACCCATAACATTGAGGATCTCCCATTGATTCAAGTCATTAAGTAGTTCGATGACTGTCGCGCACAACAACTCAGGCTGTAGTTTGCTAAATCGTCTCCATCTTCGAATATTGTCCGTCGACTCCATCGTATTTGACCGGTTCACCCGTCTGCCGTGGCGGACCAACCCGTGAACAGATCGCTAAGTTTAACATCGTCGTGTGTGGTTTGTTGCCAGGTCATAGTTAATTAAGATTCACCGTTGATGGCATGTCAAAAGGAACGTAGGGTTTCACGTGGCGATCGATGCGAGATCAGGAACTGGATAAGGTAGACCACTGACGAGTCTCTCTAAGTCCAAGGCACACGTTTTTATCCACGCCACTTGTCCCTTAGTCCAGCTGGCATGGTAGCCGGTAGTGTAGCAACTGCTTTGTCCTGGCTGATCTGTGTGCAAATCGCAGCTGTGTTCGCTGAAATTTATTTCGTACTCTCCGGTACTGCAGCAGCCGCCACCGCAGCAGACGCGGTGTCTGGAATTTTGCGCACTCTTGTTGCGCGTAAAGTCTGGTCGTAAGTAAACGGACGTACACAGAAGTCCGCCTTCAACCGACAAAACGTCAAAGCATGCAATACTTCCACTACAAATGATCCACGACATATATCCCAATAATGACGCAGTCGACGAAGCATACCCCGGCTCTGGACGAGCATCAATACGTCTTCGAACGCCGTACTGGCACGGCAGTGCGAAGCTGGTGAGAACCCGACACACCGGCCTTATTGTGAAACTAGACGAGTGTAGTGCAAGCGTTTGCATTCACAATGGAAATGGTTTGTCTCTGTTTGCAAATGCGTGTACGAGAGGGCGTGTATGGACGGGCGGGCTGGCAGCGCCGTCATTGACATAGTACGTGGAAATGCTCGAACGCTGTCGTTAGGATTGTCTCCATCGTCATCAAATTTGCAGGAAACGTAAGTGAGTCGAGTCATCCTTTATCGTGCATAAAGCGCGTAATGCGTTTCATCGGACCTAATGTTTTCGATCAGCAGCGCGCTGACGATGACAGCTCCGCTTCTGGGTCCATGCATCGTCGTGAGGTTAAAACAGCAACTTTCTGGTGAGTAGCTTTACACGTTGCGATACAATCTCTAACGAGATCGACTGATCGAGCATGTTACATCCATTCGCTACTCCTGCACCAATTTGCGTGATATAGTTCAGGAGCGTCGATAGCGTTGGAAGCATGTACTCATTCAGGCGTTGAGTATACCGGCGCAAATAGAGGATCGGTTGAACCGATGGAGACCAAATGGCTGCACGTGCGCACACTTGTCGCACTGACGTCGACCTCGCGCTTAGTCCATACCTTCTCATATCTAATTTACGTGCGTCATAGAGAGATGCGGTCGATACAGCATTGCAGAATGCCGAATACAGAGCCTCTCCTGTATCTACAGCAGCCCCTGTCGTCAATCACACCCTTTGGGGGACGCAGCACGACTCCTGTCAGGTATCTGTACTGTGCGTAGCACTTCCTAAGGCACGATAGCGTTCCCTTGCTTCTCATAAGTCGTCGACTGCCTTCGAGCTCTGGCGGTCCAGCTGGAATTCGAATCGACAGACTTACAAGCAAATGCACAAGGCGGAACAGGGTGTAAATATGCAGCGTGGGCATCGCAGGCACTCTGGTGTGTTCTCAATGTGAACGGTGGCAACCGCTTCCGATTTCGGTGATGAGGAATGTCACGGGCGCCGAAGACGTCGTTTGTGCTATAAAAGCATGGGAAAGCTACAGAGAAGGAGAGTCTGAGTGCGCACGATGGAGCCTCGATGTCGCTCTATCGTATGCAGTAAAGGGTTTGTTGACATTGTGGTCGTATCGCTTACGTCGCCATGTTCCATGCCCTGACCGCCTTTTGACCCTCTTCGGTTGTGACACGAGATCAATTGTGCACAGTGTCTACGAGATCTGTATCAACGGACACCTATGTAGCTTGGAGCGACAGGTAGCCCACGTTTGTTTCTCTTCGGGCATGTCAGTTATTGACAAATTGGTCATGGTCACCCTCTAACTGCAAGACCTGTCACAGGTCAGGTACACCCGCGCATCTGAATGGAAATGGAAAAGAGAACGAATTGGGATGCAAATCAAGGAACCCGCGGAAAGAGCGACACGATGACCTGAGAACAGGCGGTGGACGATCAACAGTGCTCTTTTATTCGCATGCATGCCATGTAGGTGCAAGCTCGATGCCATGAATGGAAACGCATCTAGCCTTTTCACTTCAGCCAGTTTGTACGGAAGCGCATGCACCCATTCTCGATATCATTCTTGGATGCTGCGTCCGCGGATGACCAAGCTGCGTAATCATAAAGCTTGACGAACGATCTTCTTGTTGCCATTCGCAACCCAATCCTTCACCCCATTGCTCGGCTTGCGCTGCTTAGGCATTGAGCATTTAGTTACTTGCACCTTATTGTCTGTTTGGATCATCGAAAGCACATCGTTATCGTACCGCTTACTCCCCGTGGCTCGAACGCCTTGAGGGTCGCTCGTTCTTGCCAACAACTATGCGGTAATGTGGCATATGCGGGCTATACTGTATAAGGGAGGCTCTATTCGAAAGTGACTTGATGGCCTCCGTCGATTGCGATACCTCCTTTTTATGCAATTCGCATGTGATCTACCAGATAGTATGTCAAAAAGCTCTATCTCGCTTACTGTTTATGTAGTTTAATGCAGGGGTGCCATTTCATGTCATAGTGTTGCTGGCAATCCAGACAGCGATGACGGCAATGACAACGTGAGTCATGCGGTCAAGAGGTTAGTGGTTTTGGGATGAAAAACGGCACGATCGTGTGCTCTAGAGAGTCGATCACGCATAATCAATTAGCCTCTGCTGGATAGAGGAGCCACGTATATAAATTGCGGACGCGGCGCTGCATTACGTATCGTATATCCGTCCACTCATAATGGCCGGGCAAACTATCTCGGCGTTGTTACCACAGAGAGATGTAACCTCATGACATACTGCTTGCTTCGACGAGTGTTGCAACCAGAGCGGCCCTTATCACACAATTCATCGAGTCGGTCAAGATTCAGTCCTGGCTTCCCGTAATGATGACCTGGAAGGTTTGTTGATTGCAAAAAGGTTATAGATACACGGGCCCCAGAGGTTGCATTGATGACTCCTGCACTTTCGTACTCAAGAGCAGTGGCAGACGGCTTTCTTTGGGTAGTAGGTCACTGTTTTCTGATCGCCCTTGCAGTCACGCCAGACCTTCCATTGTATGGTCGTAGACCACGTACAATGCGAAGCGTGTTCTTTTGTTCACATTTAGCACGATCTAGTGCAATCCCGGTCGAGCGATCTTCTAGTCTTGCAAGCTTGGCATTGGGAGCACATTTGTACGTCATGCTCTGTCAACTACCACCAACCAAGGGTTGCTCTTACAGAAGCTCGAAGATGCCGACTCGATACGGGATCAGTGTGAATGCTGACAAATGCCTGGACAAGGACTGAGTACATCTTCATCCAGACGCTCCTGAATACTCGTGATACGTTCGTGAGAAGTTTATGCACTGTCGCAATCGGATCCTTCTAGTGCCAAGTCTGACGAGCAGTGAAGGTATCAGCAACTAATCGTGGATATATGTACACTAACAAGCAAAATGCAGAATGAATAGGCTGCTACGAAGATAAATCGTTACACCGCTATGCCAGCAGCACTTGCTATTTCGTTGCGGGTGAACGCGAAGCTGATGCGACATCAGAAGACGCAAGTGACGATGCCAAACGTGCAAGATAGTGTATTACCACGTACGAAAAAACCAGCTTAGAGTGACCTCGGCACGAGGACATCACATTCAAGCCTGTATCAGCCTTTCAGTTCCATCGTGCAAGCGGAACATGGTATACCAGGATCAAGAACACACAACGTTACGATTGCAGCGATGCGGGCCTCCCAGATTAAGACTTATGCCAGCTCGCAATACATCATATTGCCGCACCGCTCGTGCCCAAACGTTACTGACAACAGGTATGGCAGAGAAGTTGGATTGTGACGCGAAGCATAAACATACACCACAATTGAATGAAGCAGTAGCTGTCGATCCGGCGTTTAGTTACTGTGCCCTACAACGTATCTCGGCCATCCGTTTCGCCATCCCACAATCGTTGATGAAAGGATGTCCCGCACTGTGAAGCACAACAGCACTGTCGCTCTTGACAATAGGTTTAGCGAGAGCAAGTGCGAAGACTCGCTTTCGCTTGCAGCGATAGCGCTCGACTGTATGGAATACAACGGAGACTGCATGGAGTTGGCGTCGACAATCTCAGCACGCAAGACGGAGTTGGGTGTATTCATGGCGGCTACCCGCACGATTGTAAACAGTTGCTGATCCACGCGCCAATATCGACTCACGATGACGTCTGGCACCGCAAGTTACACACCTCTTCCAGCTCCGCCACCACTGTTGTCTGAGCAGCTTGACAATCATCGTCTTGAGAAGATCTGATCGACCTCAGCTTTATAAAAATGGTCTCGTCGTCTCGATCTTCCTTTCTGTTTCGTCTTCAGCTCCCGTCGAAGCTTATGTTCTGCGGAGGCTGCTGCTTGTTTGCAATACGCTTTCTGCACCAGAGCAAATTCCAGATCTTCCACGTTCTCAAACATGAAATCAATCAGTGTATCGACGTCCATGCCAATGGGAATGAGAAACCCCATCCCTTGCTCCGGTGCTTCTTCATCCCAAGACACTTGAGGTTCGTCAATGCCTGAATCGGCGGTAACCAACAGCGTCACTTTATTCCACACGAGGTTGTGTAGACGCAGTTCCATAAAGTTGACAAGCATGAGGTTGGCAATCCAGTGAAACGCACTCTTCTTCATGTGTGGATCGCGAAATTTCGGCAAGAACAGTCTCGAATGGAGCAAGCTTGTCAGCACAGCGTGTTGCCTTGCTAGAACAAAGAGGAGACACAACAAATGACATCGACATTGGTAAGCTTGCACTGCTACTGTCTCCTCGCACAAAAAACACTCACAAGCAGAGCAGTACTTACTCGGCCCATCTTCCAAGCCGGTCGTCACTTCGTGCACGATATTCTTCTCGCGCGTGAGCATCGCGTGGTAGAGGTTATTGAACTCTTCGTGCTCGCGCTTAACAGCTCGATTGTGTTCAACAGCTCGAATCCCATGTCTCTCTGCCTGATCCACTACCGTGTCTTCTTCTGCTAGCCAGTCGGCGAGGGCGGTCATTGTCTTCTTGCCTCTTTCTTCCGCAACAAGCGGCACCTGCGCCACGTCAAATAGATCCTGCAGAATCCGTTTTGTCGTACGCTGCCACTCCCGTGCAAAAGGCGCTTGCAATGCAGCCTTTGGGTCATATCGAGTACTTATTGAGCGGCCATGATGGGACAGCGTGCGTCTTACGAGCCGATAAGGAATCTCGATTGTGTACTTGACGCGGATGAACTCGGGAACTTGCTCCTGAGTTTCATAATTGTCGATTGGGGCATGAAAAACAAGTGGAAACACCACAGACGCTTCGACAACAGCTTCGTATCGGTCTCGCAGGGCTAAAACGAGATTTCGGGCATTGCGGACGTCATTATTGCACCCACATGTAGCGAGTTCCAGAAACACGTTGAGCATCTTTAGTGCCTGTTCGTTTTCTTGTGCCAGCGCCGGTGCATGGCGCTGCACCATGTCTGGATGCAGGCGAAGCAGTAGTGGTGACACGTACGATGTCAAGTTCAGCCCCTTTGTGTGGCGAGGCGTCGACAAGGAGCGACGCAGCAGAGCTCTAGGTATCAGAGCTCCTCGTTGTAGCATATTGAAGTACTGACCGATTGATTGGTTGGCAGCACAGCGAGATGATCTGTGACGTGGTACAAGTGGTGTATCTGTGAGATAGTACAAACGACCAAGAAATGATCATGAGTGGTCAAAGCTTGACTGGACGAGAGATTCTTTGGCCGCTCTAGAGCATGTGAGCGCACGTCCTTATATTGGATCAAACATACGGGCCTTCAGAAGTCACGAGACTCGTTGTTCTCGACTGCGAACTCAACTCTCACACGAAAAAAAAACTTGCGGCAGTCTACGCACAATTGAATGACAGTGTCGAGCATACTGAGTCGAACCTGCTTGTCGTGTCCATCTTCGTTAGGTGTTTCGACGCCTTCGCCACCAAAGGCGTCGCCTCGCAGCCTCGCGTTCTTACGCAGTCGGACGTGTAGCAATCCAAAACAGCGAATTCGTGCGGGAATTGCCGTCGTCGAAGAAAGTCATGTTTCGCACTTTTTTCCACGCTTCCGTCGGGTCGATAATGGCAAGGTCCAGGTACGCATACCCCTTCCACCGATCATCGATCGGGTCGTTTGTACGACCAAAGGCTTGTTGCTGCAAAATCGGGTACTCCTCGCGAATGTACGCGGGCTTCAGAAATGCGTCGGTAATTGGCGTGAAGGGGATCATGTTGATCAGGTGCATGTGCTCCACCTGTGGGCCAAACCATGTCGTATACGACACCTTCGTGGCAGCAACTTGGCCCGTCATCTTGTTGGCGGCATACACAGGCTCGTATATAGTCGAGGAAGATGGCATCTGCCAGTATGTCTGCGCACCGCGGATCTCCAAAGCAAGCAGAAGATGGCCCATGTGCTCCACCTCGGGGACCTCGAAAGACTTGCCTACCAGATACACGCCGTAGTAAGCGTTAATGGCTTCACTCACACTCTCTTGAGATTTGCCACCGTCGAGTGTGTAGACACCACTGGCAAACGAGTGACTGTCGAACCAAGAGAAATGGCGGGTGAAGGGGAAAAACGCGCTACAATACGATGAACAGATATCATGTCAATCCCTCAATCCCTCGCAACGTTTCACTTTATATCAGCACAAGAGCAACTTACTCGTTCTGACTTGGGCTAGCAATGTCACGGACAATGGACATGACAGCCGCCTTGTGCGTCTTCGCGAAGTCCGGGCGATACTTGCCCAGCACAGCGACAGCGTACAAGAAGTAGCCGTAGTGAAAGTGCTATACAATACAGCAGCAGCACGTACACAACATACTCAAGTCAGCTACACAACTCTTCTTTCTGTTGTTTGGGACAGAAAGAGGTCAGTACATACATGGTCGTTGTACCAGCCATTGCCGAAGTCTGTCATCCAGAACACACCCTTGAGTCCATTCCGAGAGCACAAGCCACCCCAGCTGCGATCGTATACGAAGTGGTCACTGTTTTGACCTAGCATCCACGGCGTCAACCACTCTTCGAGCTTGTTGAGAATATCGTCACGAAGATCCTTCTCGTTGAGCTTGTCGGCAATAAGAACCAAACGAGCCTGGCTGCCGATCTCTTTTCCAAAGAAATACGGGTCATCGGCCCTTGGCGTGACATTCGAGTCGTTGGCCAGAGCAACCTTGATTGCTTCCACGTACTGAGGCTGAATCTGCACATTGTCGTCGTGAAACGAAGCTTTCGGTAGGGTCTCCTGCATCTCCCAGCAGCTGCCGAGTACCGCCGTCATATTCGATTTCAGCGTACGATGCCCAAAGTGGCCGAGCACCTGAACGCCGGTAGCATCGGTCTTTATCGTTGCCGCGTGATGCGGGTTCGCCATCATAAGCAGCTCAGCGGTCGAATTGGCGTTCCCGTTCGACTCAGCTTGATCGGCGAACTGCTTCGTTTTCCAGCAAAACGAGAACGACGCAGCAACGTCGTTGACATGCGTCGAAATCGAAGAGCTCACTGGGTATGTTCCAGCACCTTCATCCAGCGCAATCACCGCATGCTGTGGAGCTCCTTGTGGGACAATAGCAAGTCGCGCGACACCCGTGAACGAGTCCGTGTCCACCAGTCGAACTTTAGTGGGGGTAGTCAATTCACCATGCAGATTGTACGGCCTATAGTCTTCTTCGTTCGCAAACTGGAGTTGCAGTGTCCGGGCGCTGTCAAAGTACAAGATCCACTTCTGCTGCGACGTTCCTGTTCCATGTGCACTCGCTCCGGTGCCATAGACTTGAACATCCAGCTCAAATCGCTTGCCCACGTACGTTTGCAAGTGGTTCCGAGACGCCCCAGCGTTCGCGTTCTGGTCTACTCGCTCGCCATTGACAGCTATGATAGTAGCGTTCAACTCCACCACGGGCGCTACGTTTTGGTACTCGACCGTGACGTACGGCGAGCCACGCACGAGCGGCGCCTTCATCCACTTGTTCTCGCTGCCGTAATCGTATTGCAACGTGACCGACAAGACATCAAAGGCCACGACGCGTCGAGACGTGCTCTTGCCGTGCCCCAGCACTTCAACTGGACTCCTGTCCTTGTCACCAGGCGCATCGTTCGTGAACCCATAAGCCGCGAAACTCACGTCGACGTTAAAGTACTCTGTGATCGCGTCCTGTGTCGCCACGCGACGCGAGTCTCCGTACGAGATTTCCAGTCGCTTTGGCAAGCTCCGGACTGTATACGGACTTAAGGTGACCTCGCCACAGCCAGCGTTGAGTCCGTGGCCGTCTGCAACAAGGAAGTTCGACCAGAACGCATTGGTTGGCAGCGATTGGCCAACGTGGTCCCGATCGCGCACGAGTTTCGGGGGCACAGGGTGCACCTTCTCGGCAAATGGCGGCCGCATTGCCAGCAGCTCAGCAGTCGAGAGCGCTGCAGGCCGTGCCGTCGATTGGGAGGTACTCGACGGGGAGCTGCGGACGAGGAAGCAGACGATCACGACGGCAGCGACGAGCACGAGCGCGACGATTGCGTACAGTGCACGACGCAGCGGCGGGCGGAGGCGCTGGGCGCGGAGCTGCAGCAGCGGCGACGTCTCACTTGCAGCCATTGCACACAGGCACTTGAGTTGGACGTGGCAAAAGCTGTAATGATGGCGAGCGGGGATCTGAGTTTGCGTGCCGGAAGATACGCACGAAGGTTCGATTAATGTGATGTGGATGGGGTTTTGGCCAATGGCAACCGCTGATAGAGGCCAGTATCCTGATGCGAAGTAAAATAACAGGGGAGCGAGGACTGGGATAAGATGACTGGTTCCTTGCCCCACTGGCAGTCGACAAGAGCAAATTGCGAGTGGTGTGGTTTACACGAAATACACACACATTTAGTAGCTGTCGCCAATGACAAAAACCGGATGCAGGAGTGAAGTTAGCAGAGACACATATCAGGAGCGGTGCACAACGACTGGCTGCGACGACAAACCCGTGCCATACGTGGTGGGAACAGTGGTACTAGTGCGAGCGTAAGCGCACGTGCCTTGCTGCGGTGGATGGAAGCGGCGCCAAACGAGGTACGCGCTGGAGACGACCACATTAAAGAGCCCGCAGATCACCCACACGCTGCGCTTTTGTGCAATCAGCACGCCCAAGAGCACGACGATCTTGGGCAGCGTAATTGCCCACGCGCCAGCGCTGCCGAACGGTACTACAAACGGACGTTCAGTGTCCTTTTCCACGTACTTCAGGCGCAAGAACGCAAAGAACTCCAGCATCAGCGTGAGACTGCAGGATTCCATCACACAACAACTGGTTAGTGTCCTGCGCAGCTGTTCACCTCGCAAAGACGGATCACAAGCGACGACGACGTACTTGTTGAAGAAGGTGTCAATGACCACCAAGATCTCGAATGAAAAGTTCATGAGCATGCCAGTGGTAATCGTCTGGAAGATCACTGCTGCAACCGGCGTCTCAAAGCGCTCCCACTCAATAGCGAGAAACGACGGCAGCATCTTGTAGTCTGCTGTTGCCCACAACGCACGCGAGCTGCAAGCCATCACGACGTTGAACTCGCCCAGCGTTGCTACGACTGCAGCCATGCCGACCCAAACCCCAAGCCATGGAGCAATGGACATGGCGATGGTCTCCAGAGAACCCTCATGCCACTGCGAAAAGTCAGACTTCACCATGATACCTGCACCGACTGCATACGGGTGAAGAAATAAGCGTGAGGACGGAGTTCATTCGCAATGCGCAATCAATGAGATAACACAGACCTGGAACAGCGTAGTTGACGGTGATCAGAATCATTGCGATCGTTATGGCGATCGGGTAAGTTCTTCCTCCTTCTTTGACTTCGCCAGCTACGCACCCGAGAGAATCCCAACCTAGTTTGAAACAAACGATCCATTATGTGCAGTGAGAGGCAAGTTCAAACGTCGCTCCCCACCTCCAGCAAAGCCCACCTTGATAGTTCCACAATATGGTGGAGAGAAACACCGACCAGTCGATGTCCGGTGCAACGCTTCCCCACGTAGCGAGGTTGAAGGTCTCAATTGAGAGCGGTTCCAAGATGAACGGTGCAAGTACAAAGAGGGACATCAGCACGGAGGCCACTGCCACTGCGCGTAATCCGACTACATTCGATACGAACACAAACAGTAGAGCGAGGCATTTCACCAACCATCGCTCTGTGCCGGATAGACTATAATTATATCCGGACACCAAAAACGCTTCGACATAGCTGCAGAATAGCACGGGGTACGTGGGCAAGTCGCACGCATTGCTAGCAATGCAGTTGAACGCATTCACCCAGCCAGCATATTGGCCCAGTCCACGGCGCACCCACAAGATGTAACCTCCATTTTCACTGATCATGGAGCTAAGCTCAGCGGTCTGTAGAACACCAACCAACAATCGTCAGCTGAAGACGTTGACCGTTCATCGATAATACAGCCTCCCCCACCATCAATGCCTGTGGCAACCCCCATGTAAATGGCAGTAGCACCACAGCCAGAAGCACTGGGTATGGCCCTGCGGCTCGCACTGCATCTTCAACACCAAAAGGTCCTGCTGCGACTGCAAAGTAGGCAATAAATCCCAGCGTGATGTGGTTGATCGTCCGAGTCTTGGCCCTTCCTTGCTTCCTTGGCTGCTCCTTGGGGCCATCACAATCCGACTGAACCTCAAGCAAGTGTTGACTCCTTAGCACGCTCGGTTCAGTGCGACAGGGCTTGAGTGGCGATCGATCAGGAGACGACGGAGGCATCAGGAGCAGGCCATTGGATTTATCAGGCGACGTACAAGGTTGCAAGCAGGCGTCCGAGGCGTCCGTACACATTCCAGCGCAGTGTTTCACTGCTTGTGCAGTTGCTTGCGGAGTGGGCCGCCGTTTTTCTATCGGTGTATAGATAGATGTCCAATGGACGTGGCCGTGTCGTTGACGATGGCAGCTTTAGCAGCTGCGCGCCATTCCGTAGAGGCGTTTGGTCTCCGTTGTGTGTATTCGGGGTGTACCACATCACGTACGACATTGGATCAACATCCATCTCCTTCGAGTCCACACCAGTCATTTGAAACCGCGTTGACCAACGCGCTTGCAGAGCTCAGTCTCGAAATTCCCTGCTGCAGACCACAAGTGAGGCTCAGTGCACTGGACAACGTCTGCGCTTATTGTGTAGTGCTCTTCCAACAGCCCGCTGGTTCTTTCCATGTGCGCTGGTGGGTATAGTATGAGCACAAAATGAGTGGTGCGGTACAAGGGCGAAGGGAAGTGCATTCCTGTCTGAGTCCGCGTGCGTCTGGTGCAAAAAGCTTGCCTCGATCGGGTTGGCGTAAGCTTAATGCAGTGGGTCGTACATGTATGTCAATGACGTGTACATACAGTCATGTTCTGTTTGTTGCAAGATACACTCTGTTCTTTTCTTTGTCCGTAGAAAAGTCCAATTTTTTTCCCTTGCTAGACCGATACAATTCTAACTCACCGCCGCGTTCATCTCTTCCAACGAGTCAGTGGACGCGATGGTCTTACGAGTCGTGACATGCCTGTCAATACCTTATGCATACATAGCTGCAGCTGTAGGACTGCACACACCGCATCGATAGCATGTGGGACGATCGAAGTGAGGAAACACATTATTGTGGAGATGTTCGATGATGAGTACAATAGACTACAATTCTCTGATCGATCGGTTTCTCAGTTGTAATAAATGCACGACACTCAGTGGACAAATAGACGCATGCGCGCCAATTACATATACAGCCGCTAGTCCCGACAACTACCGTCAATCATTCTATGCTATTGCGACACTTGAGCTCGTAGTCCAGCACCGACTCTTCATCCGCGGCAAAGTGAAAGTGGCCTTGCACGCTCTTGCCGCTCAGCACGTGTGGTAGCCAAAACACGTCGTCTGCCCACATGTTTTCAAATGGGATTTGAGAGACGCTGACCCACTGCGGCTTCATCTCCTCGCTCTCGGACGGCTCGCCCGAGAAGTGTTGCGTCAGAAACACGTGCACTTCCTACAGCAACAATCAAGAAATGAGCGCCCCGCAAATACAACTAGACAACACGCCTCACCACACCACCTTCCAGTTACGCAACACACCAACACCTCTATGTGCTTCTCGAACGAGAATAGCAACACACCACGCGGTTCGAAATCCTCGCTCTGGACGTGCACATTGGCTTCTTCCTGCACCTCCCTCGCCGCTGCTGCTGCAATACTCGCGTCTGTCGACTCGACTTTGCCTCCAAATCCATTCCACTTGCCCGCGCCAAAGCCTCGTTTCTTCAGACCCAACAGCACCTGCTGCTCGCCATGTGCGGCAGCAGCGCCGTCACGCACAATGAGCGCCAGTGTGAGTAACTTGCGAGGCAGAGCCGGTACCGATCGCATGCCGCCCGTAGCCGCAGCACTTGTAGTGTTGCTATCAAATGAGGTGCCTCTTGAATTATCTATTTGATACGATAGGACCCATGAAAACTTATACATATCCGACGCGATTCGGCTGTCCAGCGAGTGCGCAATCTGCAACGGTATCTTTCGTGTCTCATTCGAAAAGAAACCAGCTGACAACCAGATCCAAGAGTGTTGGTCGTTTTCGTCTTCCCCGAACGTCTGTGCCCATTAGCCATCGTGCCGCTGTATCTTCTGAGCCGCTGGCCCATTATGCCGGGGATGCTGGCCGTGGCGCTGCTCTCGGTGGGCGTGTCCCTGTCGCTCTGCGTCGTGCCCGCGCTAGCACGTCTCACGGTCTTTCCCCTGCTCTCGGCGCTCGTGCACAAGTTCGCAGCCGCGTATTTGACGGACAGCGTCCGCATTGAGTTTTGCTTTGGCTCGTGTGCCTTGCGCAAGCACCGCAGTGCCGACTCGGAGCTCGTGCGTGGCGTCACGATCTCGCTCTTCTTTGTCACGGTGCAGAGCGAGTTCCTCAAGTCACTGGCGTTTGTCAAGCAAGGACTCGCACCTGTTGAGCTCCAGCGCGTGGCGATTGAGAAGATTGAGATTCATGTAACCACGACGTGGAAAATGGTGGTGAAACTCGAGGGCGTGAGTGTAGACGGCCGGATCGTGGACCCTAATGCAGACGGCGTGTTTGAGCTGCAAGACGCGGTGGCCATGAAGCTAACTGAAGCGGCGAATTGGATCACGCTGCTAGATGTAGAGCGTAAGAAAACAGAGCTGAGAGTGAAGCGAGAGGAGACGCAAGCAGCGCGCGCTCCTGGAGCGGCAGATCAAGCTTTTAGTTTCAAAGATCGCGTGCTGCAGCAGATTGCGGCACAGGTGGACATCCACGTCAGCGAGTTGCGAGTTACTATCACGGGACTGACTCCTGGAGCTGCTGCCGTTGACGGTCATGATGAAGTAAACGAAGAGAAGGATGGCATGGATGCAGACGAGGCCAGAAATGGCTTGATCTCCGGGCTTCTGTTGAAACCTACACGCGTGAGCTTTGCTCTGGACTCGTGTGACGTGTTGTCGGATGTGTTGCACGAAAACGTAGACGAGGCGTTGCAACTTATCTTGACGTCAGAGGAGATCAAGGTGGAGCACGCTATGAGCATGAAAGGTGGGAGCATCTGTGCTACTGTTGTAGACGGTGAAGACGGAAGTGAAGAGGTCGTAGTGGAGAAGAAGGTGGACTTACTGAAGGGCAAAAGGGAAAAGAGCCCTGGCGAAAAACCACTACTGTCCTTTTCAAGTTTGGCCGCAAAGCTGCATGTACCACCCATGCCACGAGTACTAGGTATCGTGGAGGACATCGCTCCTATTTCGATGATGAACCGTGGGGCGCAAGTGGAGCTACTATCTTCATCGACGATCAACATCTCGATCACACGTGAGTTGGTGGTGGGAGTACTTCGCGACCTGGTCGTTCCATACAATGACCACCAGGTGCTAGTGCAGTCGGTGCGAACGCTGGAACATGATGAAAGTGTTCGCAAGCCCATTTCTGAGGAGGACGAGAAATTTTATGTGAGCAATTTCGACAAGGAGGATAGTAACAAGTCGCTATCTAGCCAACAGAAGGCGGAGATTAATGAAAAATTGCGCACACTTGAAACGGCGATGTCGCTGAACAAGATTCTTAAGCTGCGCAGTCGGGCGACTGGATTGGCCAAGTACTACCGCCGTGATCAAGACGAGCTTACCCTTGCTGATGTCAAGGCAATCGTGCTAGAGAACGCAACTAAGACAAGCAACATTATGTTCAGGGCACTGCAGATCGCGTTGCGCTCGGACAGTATCGTGATTGGGTTTGTGGAAAGGGATCACCAAGTCTCAGAGATGGCAGTGGTCGGCTTTGGCGCCAATGTGCGCACCCATGCAATTGCGGAAGGTGAGGAAAAGCAGAAACTGGACGTGGATGTGGTCGTGGGCCAGACGACGTTTTTGGTTAACGTCGAGTCTTCGGCTCCCAAAACTGTTGCTCCCACGGAAAAGCTACTGTTTGCGGACTTTGGCAATGTGACAACAGATTCTGACGCGGCAGCGGCGCCACAGATGCTGATGGCCCATATAAACCAATTCGAAAATGGAAAACATGCTGTTTGTGCTAGCTTGAACAATATAAAGGTGATCCTGGCAGTGGGCGCGCTGGAACGCTTTTTGCTGTATGTGGATCGACTGAGCACGAAGTCTGCGCAAGTTCTGTCGACTGCGCGTCCACCTCCAACACCGGCTACTTACTCTGAGCAATTGCCTGCGCCGGTGGAGATTGCCAAAAGTGAGATGGAGACGTTGACGAAGGAGGTACCAATGTCTCCGTTCAGCCTTTTTGGTGGGATGTTGCTGAAACTTGACGTTAGCATGAGCGACTGCCGCATCCTCTTGCTTCCCACTCCATCTTATTCAAAGTCACTGTATACGGATATGGATGTGGAGACATGGCAAAATGACTACGAAGTGGACTGTCACGTGGATATACCAGTGACATTCAGCATTTGTCTCGAGAGCTCTAAGGTAAAGGAGTCGATGGAGTTCAACGCGCAAAGTTTTAGTATCGGTGCGCAATACGTTCATAACGCCAAAGAGATGGAAACAATCCTGGCCCCAACGAGTGTGGCGTTGCACTTCACGCTAGAGCAAGACTCCGTAGACTCATCGACATGCCGCCAGAGCGTAATGGTGCACATGCCAGATGTCTTAGTGTCTGGATCAGACCTGAGTTTGTCGCTGTTGGCGTCTTGTGCTGAAGCACTTGGTAACGTACAGACCACCACGCCGGACCAAGCCCGACTCCGCCTACTGAGTCGTATGAAGCAAAACGAAATTCGACGCCAGGCTGAAATCGATGTGGTTCTCGACCGCTTGCACCGTCTTTTCGACGAAATTGACGAAAACGGGAATGGTCGTATTGAGCTAGGCGAGCTTCTTCTATTATTGCGCCGCGTCAAGATTGGTGATACGTTGCTTGAGAGCGAGTTAGAGTATCTGGTTCGTGCACTCTTCAAAGAAATCGATCAGGACGGCGACGGGTTTCTGGAATTCCAAGAGCTACGAGCATACTTGCGTGATGACCTGTTGTCCGATAACTCGGTGGCAGCTTCGGGTGCACCGTCGGGGAATGGCAGCAATGCTCTCAGTGGCTTTCTTAATTTGCGCGGAAGCGAATACCATTCGTTTGAAGTGATCAACAAGATGTGCGAGACGAAGATTGCGTTTTCTGAACAACTCGCAGAGTGGATTCAGCGTCCTGTGTTTGTCGAACGGTTTTGGGAGCTGTTTGAGAGCGAAGCTCACCTTACGAAACGCTCCCTGTGTGATCAGAATCCGCTGGATGTGCAAAAGAAGTTAGTACGTTTGCTGAAGAACTACGATGCCGCAAATCTCATCTGGGATGCTTTGGTTCTGCCTGTGATGGAAGATCTTTGTACGGACCACGCCTTTTGCGAGTGGCTACTGCAACCATTCACACATTGCGGAGGTCTCAGCGAGTACCAGAGTGCGGCGAAAGTTATCGCAAAAAAGAAACGCGGTATTTTTAGTGCAGCCATGAATGAAGCAGAACATTTGGTAAACAAGCTTACACAGAGCGCCAACCCGGTGAAGAAGGAGTTGCGGCTTACGACGGACGTACGAATGGGGAACCTGCGGCTCGTTCTAACGGACACAGAGTTGCCCACTCGTTTCTGTCGTGGTGATTTCGTCATCAAAGATGTGAAATTGTCAGTGAGGTTGACTGGCAAAGAGATCGATGAAATTGGTCCCGTAGATTGGGTCGGTTTGGCTACATCTGGCGATTCCGACTGGATGGGGCTGTTTGGGTTCAAGCTGTCGTCGTCATGTTATAGTGAAGTTGCTACTGACATGGAATTCATTATTGAGCCATGGGAGCTGGTTGTAGGCCTGTCTTCTAGCGATGGCGAGAATGGGTTTTCAGTGTTAATGGAGGCTGCCAAACGATTTCAAATCAACGTGACTCCGAGCGTTCTAAGAACCTATCGTGCTCTAATGGATGCCATTGACGGAGAAGTCCAACAGAACGGTCTACAAACGCACCAGAACAGCTTCCGTAACTCAATGACTGCAAAGAAATGCAAAGAAATTGATTGCCTGGTTGAAAATTTCACTGGGTGCACGATTGTGCTAAAATTGAGCGGCAGTGATGAGACGATCACGATCAGAACGCATGATCGCGCTTACATCGAGAATGGTGTTTTGAAGGATGGAGAAGCAACACTGGACCTACTCGAAATTGACCAGTGGGGCACGAGCAACACCTCGGTGAAGCTACCCCACTTTGGCAGCGTAAATATTGGCGTGAGCACCGCAGAAGCCTTACAAGCTACATTGTTCGTCACATTATTTTCACGATTGGAAAACCCGAGGCGACAGCATATCGTTCTGCGATCAAACGCGTTCTTCTGCAACCATAGCTCTGAATGTTACGAAGTGAAGTACTTGAGTTTAGGGTGTGAAGGCCGAAAGGCAGTGGAATCTCAAGTAGTCAAGTTACGACCTAATGAGCGCATGTCATTGCCACTCTCGCTTTTGATGGGGATTACAGAGTTTTACGCGCGTCCTGAAAGCCATGAACACTGGATCGTCAAGACTTCCCTAAACAACGATGTGTTGACGTCCGAGGAGGCAATTAGAGAGCTTGACGAGCACGAAGCAGAGCGCAAAGGAAAGACGAAACAGCACCGAGGCGGTACCATCGTGTATGGTGATACTGAGGAAACTTGCACAAAGATGATTCGGCGACTGACCTCGAATGTGATCGTGCGTCGTTGGTACCTGCGTTCGCATTTCGAATGGGAAATCGCGCTGCTTCCTCCATTTGTTGTTCGTAACTCGCTTCCTTATGAGATGGAATTTCGGTTTATCGAGTACAAGTCGAGTTCATTGAGAGACATGAAGACCGAATTCGCGAAAGTGGATAATCTCCTGCG